AGGCCTCTTCTGACTTTGTCAGAAGGGTCCTGTAGAAATTCTTGCAGCATATCCTCTCACTTCACCCCACTGTTCCCACTTCAGCCAAGGAGATCTGAGCTCCTGATTCCCTTCTGTCATACAAGGGCTGGCTACCTGGGCTTAATCAAATTAATGTGTTTTCTTAAAGCTGTGGGGCTGGTTCAAGAGCTCACAGCATGTCAGAATTTCTCTAGTAGCAAGGCACTGGGTGTGTTTCTGGAGAAAACAGCAATAAATTTACTTGCACCTGTACAGCAGTTTACCTGTATCCCTCCAATCCATGTGTACACAGGAATAAGACACAACCATTGAACTGTGGGTCACAGTGGTGACACCAGGAGAGGTAGATGGCCACTGTTAACCAAGATGCAGCTTAAGAGCACTATATAGCATGAAACTGTAGGTAAAATCCTCAGTACTCTGTGGACAAAGTTATAATTTGTATTTTTAGCCCAGGGTAATTAATATTTTTTGTAAATAATTAATAGCAATACCAAGGAATATATTGCAAATATGGATAGAAGACCTTTATTCCCTAAGGGACTTCTTTTTTCTCTCCCTTCCCCAAGTGATGCAAATCTCAGAGACTGACCTGCTGACAAGATTACTCATTTCATTTTATGCAGGACAAGACTCCCAATATGTTACAGAGGAGATAATGATGCAAAAGCTAAGTTGCCCTGGGTAGCTTTTGCTAGTTGTTTATTCTTCTGCCCTCAAAATACAAACCCCTTACTTCCGTAACTTGACAACAGAACTACATTCTGTAATTAAACCACCCACCCTGGTAGAGTTCCAGGTAAAGACTGCAAGTCATCTGTAAGTACCACTATCTCACACCTTGAGAAAACGTCACCATTGTGATGGGGATCCTGACAAGCCCTTTCTTCAAACACAATCAGACCACTGTGCCAGGAGTTCTGTCTGTATGTCCATGACAGACTTTTTTGTGAGTCCAAGGCAGTAAATTTCCCTTTTTGCCTTTTGAGAAGTTTTTGCAGTAAGTACAAAAGTCTTCTTCAAGAGGAAAAGACTAGATCACTCTAGTTGAGCAGAAAACAAAAATGTAGATAGAGAAAAGGAATCAGAACTCACACTGTATATTAAAGCTAGCTGCATCAATCAATCATCGGCAGGTCTGTGGAAGAAAAAAAATCTTTATAACAAAGAGTATGCTAATTAGTTAATGATAGACGATAGACCAGCAGCAGGGGATGACTACAGGAGTATCTTAACTGATACGCACTTTATGACCTTCAGTGGATCCAGTTTCATGACATCTCACTAATTATATCCCTCCCACAAACTGTTAGACTCACAAATATGATCTTAGCAAGTCTGTTCTTGTTTCCTAATTTGGTGAAAGAGAAAGACCAAAAATATTTAACAGAAGTTACTCTAAAGCACAAATTATGTAGGAATGGGTTTGTCAGTAGTGAACCAACCTAATGCTGTTTTGTATGTTCCTTTTTTTTTTTTTTCCAATACGTTTGCACTCTGTAAAACTAAGCAAGAAAAAGTGGAACAAAATTAAAACAAAATTCGCCATGTTGACCTGCAACTTATTGAAGCTATAACTGAGAAAAGTTGCCATAGAAGGACTATGTTAGAAATATTTGCTGTAGCTGTAAAACTTCTTGTATTTTTGATTTATTTATGGATCTTTTTGATGCTTTTATAATATCATTCTATAGATTCACAGCATAATTAAAATTATTCAGAGAATTATGCAAGTTCCAGTGGGTATTTCCTACAGGGTACCACAAGAAATATAAAAATACTGACAAAGGGAAATCCCTTGACACTGAATACCTGAAGAGTTTACTTTATTGATGTGAGAATACATTTCCAGACTTTGAAAACCAAAGAATGCCCTCATTTTATCAGTATGCACTCTGCACAAGCATATTCTCTTAACCATTCAGTTAACCATTCCTTAGAGAGAATCACATCCAGAGGATGATCAGTAACCATTTCTTGGAGATGAAGCAAAGCAGATATGAACATGGATTTCTTGCAAATAAACATAAACTTTACTGGCTTGGTGTGGTCAGAAAGCAAATCATTGACTGTATCACATTTTATACAAGGATGCAGGTCATGCCTAAAACAACTGAATTGATGAACACACTATAGCAGACAATCATTAGACTTAGTACAGTTAAGGCTGCTGGATCTAGCAAGTGATTGATTTATATCTCAGTTTTATGCAGAATTTATGCAAATGATTAGTTCTGCATTGCAACCAAATCAAACTCTAGCGAGTGCTCTAACAAGTACTATGCCTGCAAATCTTCTAGAAACTTTTTCCAACATGATCTGTGACTGTGCCATCCAGAATCTAGGAATCTGTGTCACTATCAGAACATGATAACCACTACAATATCAAAAGGATGGAGACAGAAATGATCTCACAGCTTCCAAGATGCCCTTCACTTTGCTGACCTTTCTGAAGTCTTTTCTTTAGAGCAAATCTCTAAATGTGCACACCCTACATGTTTCTGTCAGACTTTCAGTGAGCTAATTATTAAAAAAAAAAGGTTAAAATGTTGAAAATAGCAATCATCTGAGAATAAATATGGGGTTGAATTTATATCCAAATATCCCTTACAGAGAAAAACCTCTTTAAAGCTTCACATTAAAAATTTGTATTTCTCTTGGCACTGCTTTAGTGCAATGACTACAGTGTTACAGTTTACAAAATGTTAACTTCCCTTTTCCCAAGTTTTCTGAAGAGTAAAAGCTCTTTTTTTCTTTAAAATAACAGGAACATTATGCCACAGCAGGGTAAAAGCAAGACAAAATGAAACACTTTTTTCCTTCTAAATGGCATATTTATGCTGCACATAAAAATAACTTAATGATGCACTGTGAATTAGGTGATTCTCTCAGATTCTATGCCATTTCTTTCAAGACTCCTGGTCCAGAGTGCTTCTGTGTTTCCAGAACCCTTTTGCACTGTTGTTTTCATCTGTTCTTCATTTGTGTTCTGATGCAATTCCAGATGATGTTCTACTCAGCTTAGCTCCTCTGCCTCTCTTCATGATAAAAAGGACCCATGTCGCAGGCAAAACTGGCAGTTCAGATGACTACTGTGTGACACAACTATTTTTTTTCTTATTATAGCCAGGGTTTTTTTGTGTACTGAAACTTCTCAGTAAAGCTGAATTTTCATTGTAACAGACTGATGCATCTTTACTGACTCAGGCTTTTCAAAGACAGTCAGAGGATAATTTAATGGAGAGAAATGATCATTAAATTCTTGAAGGCTCAGTTGTGTAGAACAACAGAGGCTTAGGGGCCTTGTTTGAAATCAGATGGAAATTATTCTGAAATTTGTGTTGAACTGCTGACTATTTCCTGCAAATAAAATCATCATAGAATAATTTGGGCTGGAAGGGACCTTTAAATGGTGTCTAGTTCAAACCCCCTGCAGTGAGCAGGGACATCTTCAGCTAGATCAGGTTGCTCAGAACCCTCCTGACTTCAAATGTTTCCAGGGATGGGGCATCTACCACCTCTCTGGGCAATCTCTTCCATTGCTTCACCACTATCATTGTAAAAAATGTCTTCCTTATATATAGTCTGAATCTACCCTGTCTTAGATGAAATACATTACCCCTTGTCCTATCACAGCAGGCTCTACTAAGAAGTCTGTCCCAATCTTTCTTATAGGCCCCCTATAAGGTGGAGAGGTGTCCAGCCCTCTGATAATTTTTGTGGCCCTCCTCTAGACCTACTCCAACAGGTCCATGTCTTTCTTGTGCTGAGGAGTCTAGAGCTGGATGCATTACTCCAGGTGGGGTGGTCTCACAAGAGCAGAGTAGACAGGCAGAAGCACCTCCCTTGACCTGGTGGCCACACTTCTTCTGATGCAGCCCAGGATCTGGTTGGCCTTCTGGGCTGCAAGCACACATTCCTTGCTCATGTCCAGGTTTTCATCCATAATCATCCCCAAGTCCTTCTCTGCAGTGCTCCTCTCAATCCCTTCATCCCTCTGTATTGATTCAGGGAGTCACCCTCACCCAGGTGCAGGACCTTGCACTTGACCTTGTTGAACCTCATGAGATTCACATGAGCCCACTTCTCCAGATTGTCCAGGTCCCTCCAAATGGCAACTCATCTCTCAGGCATGTCAACTGCACCTCTCAGCTTGGTGTCATCTGCAAACTTGCTGAGGGTGCTCTCGACCCCACTGTCTATGTCATTGATGAAGATACGAAACAGTATGGGTCCCAATACAGACTGCTGAGGGACACCACTCACCACTGATTGCCATCCAGACATTGAACAAAATAAGATGAAGCATGAGCCATGGTGCTAAACACAGATCAGTGGCTCACCCTAAACGTGTCTGGTGCTGTTTGCAGTGCCTGACGGTTCCTGCCTGGTCTCCAGCTTCCACTCCAGAGCAGCACAGATCTCTCTCAGGTCCTGTATCACATTTCTGAGTCCCACACAGACCACAGCAAGTCCTTGAGTGCCTCAAGAGGCATTGAGTGTGTTTGTGTGATCAATTACATGGAGCCATCAGCATGTCAATTTTGAATTACAGAAATAAAATAACACCAAATATCTAATGTTCCAAGGGAGCTTTTCAAAATACTGACCTAATTGTCAATCACTGCAATAAATTTATTTGCATTGTAATACATTTACTGGTAGTTAGTGTACACAAATACAAGTGCTATATTCTGTAAAACTGGAGCTTGTGCTTGCAAAGCAAGAACCTGATATTTTTAAGATGGATTCAATATTCCTAACAGCTGAATACAGTTTTTTTTAGGCCTGTTGATGGGTGCCATATATCATCAGATATAGTCTCCTATATGTTCCATGTTTGAAATAACAGAATTATCTTTTCTTTTTTTCTTGGTTCTGAGCTCTTTGAAGAAATTGGAAAGCCATCTTTTGACCTATATTGGTTTCTGGATCAGCCTGCTTCTCCTAGGTCTATGCAAAGAGCCTCTCTTCTACTTACCTGTTTGTTCCAGCTACTGTTCAGCTTTGGGGACAAATTTCAGCTCGCTCTTTATGTTTTGAATCTCTGACAAGTTGACAGCAGGACCTGGAAGCTTCTTAGCTCCTGGGAGATGTTTCTTGTCTTTCTCCTCCTCTGTCGAAGCAGGCATGCTCTGCACAGAAGGATACCAGTGACCTTACTGCCACAATAGCAGTCTCTTGAGTTATTTGAGAGACAGGAAAGGATATTTTTATACTAAATGCACTCCCAATGGAAATAGGGAGAGAGGGTGTGGGAAGGTAGGAAGAGATAGGTTATTTTGTTGGTTGTCATCTAAAATGTCTAAAAATATTCTGAAAAAAAATTAGAAGGTGCTCAGTGAAGAGGAACATCGATAATTTTTTTAAATGAGTAAGAATTTATAGTGTCAGACCATGAGCAGAAAATTAACTGAGTGAAGTATTAAAGGCAACTTCCAAGTCATTAATATTTTAGGCACCAAAAAGCAGAAGAACCATTTTTATAATCTAATTTCTTTCAGAGTCTCATAGTTGCCAGCAAGCTGGGGAGGAAAACCACCAGGTATTTCTGTAGCTCTGGAGAAGAGCTATGATAGCAGCTTTCCAAAAGCTCCATCCAGGCTCTGCTTGAGTTGATGTTTAATTTTTCTTACTCTCGGTTGCCACACCAGAAGAGTTTTTGTCATTTTATGTTTGAATTAAGGTAGTGCGTGATGGCTATTTTGATGACACTATAAAAATACAGGCTAAATAACAGCACTTACACAACAGCAAACATCTCAGCTAATTTCCTGATGGACCACAGTATTTCAGCCCTTTGTACTTCCTCATCTCTACTATGGCTCCTAGATGAGGAAGAGCATGTATTTTAGACAATTTCTATTCTAAAATGAGCAATGTTTTGAAGGAGTAGATTTCCAGTAGGGAGTTTAAGGTTGTTCCAGCCTCTTCTGTATTTTATAATGCTGGCATATGGGGGGAGCCACGGAGATATGGAGATAAACTAATATTTTACTGCGAAGAGTTTCATAATGAAATATTTTTTTTCTTTTTTTGATTACTCTGTGAATGTCCTCTTGAGATGGGCTTTTTGGAGCTAATTCAGTATTTAGATTTATTAGCCACTGTTTTTGGAAAGGTGTATTGACCATGTAACAGTCAATTCTTAATATCTTACCTAATTTTTAAAATTCCAAAGTTATCTGTCAAATACTAATGGCCAATAAACCCTTTTTTTTTCCCTGCCACCTAATGGACTACATGCTGATCAGGAAGCAGACTTTTTGCAATGTGAAGCAACAAATAAACAAGACATTTTGGAAAACTGAAATTGTCTTTCCATCTGCTCTTTAAAAACTTTCTAGGAATCACCATATATAACAAAACTAAAGCAACAATTATATTGCTTGGCTTAGTAAACTTGTATTATCCGTTCTCACATTTTAGCTAATACGCTGCTAGGTAATAGAAGAGAATACTATTTAATAATATTAAACTATCATTTCTGTTTGGTCATTTGAAATTCCAGCCAGTAATCAAGTTCCAGCAACTACATATTCTATTTAATATCTAGCTTAATGATCTAACATCCTGAAAAAGTAACAAAGCATAGCAGGAAAGCAAGTAAATTGATATAGAAGGTGTTTGGAGGGGTACACGAATTTTATCAGTAGCCAAAGATTACAGCTTGTGCTGTTTCCTTTGACAGTTTCCTTGCACAGCTAGCTAATCTGAATAATTGGGGGAAAATATCATTCCCATAACCCCATAGTGTTATTAGTACATAGCAGATACTATTTTAAAAATACCATTTCAAGTCATCTACAATATCATTCCTTTCACAAGTATAAATGGTGCAAACTCTGTCCATGTTTTGGAGGCTTTGCACTCTGTAATGTGATGCTAGCTTTCCCTTCTAATCTCAGATGTGTGCTATTTATGACTGCACCCCTCCCTACATCACCTAATCTATGTGCAATGCACAGCTGAGATCAGACCTTGGCCTTCAGTTTTACTGAAGGAAGGCTGAAGAGTGACTTAGATATATGACAAAAGTTAACAAATACATACATACATGGAAATGCTCTTACTGAAGAAAAGTTATATTCTGAAATTCCCACCCCCTCCATTTCTTTTCATATTAACATGTCCGCTTTGTTGACCTTCAAAAAAACATGTTCCTGTCTGATTCCACCAACCCTTTGAGTAAGACCCATATTTCCCTCATCACCTTTGCCAAGGTTTAAAAATGTAGTGAAAAATACTAAGCACTGTTATCAAAAGAAGTATTTGTCTAAAGCTGTTCTGAAGAATCACAAGCTGTATTACAAAACTTAACGAGATGAGAAAATTGAAAAGACAAGTCCACTTATTTTTATGCTATTCCTATTACACGATCTGTTTCTGTAGTCTTTACTCCCAGTGATTTGGTTGCATATTGGCTATAAAACCAGGGCCAAGAACTTTCATTTCATGTCTGCCTCATACATAGTATTCATGTAACTGAGAAGCAAAGCAATATTTAATTACCCAACCAAATCTAATTATTAGCACTAGCCATTTATTTTATTTCTCAAACACTACCAGAGTTCACACATGCTATATTAGTTTCTGCTTAATAACATGCATTCCTTCGCCAGTTTAATTACTGCAGAGAGAATATGCTTTGATTTCTTTCCAGGGGAGAGAGCTACTGTGTTCAAGGTCACTTTATATGTTTGGTTTTGGGTTTTTTAAATCTTCTTAAGAAGAGCTAAGTCAGTCTGGATTTGATTTCTTCAGGAAAGCTCTCTATAAACAGAGAACTATTTATATCAAATATGTCCAAATGCAGGAGAAAAAAAAATCTGTCTCATTTAGACAGGAAAGGAAGAATTAGCTCTTATGCAACTAAACCTGACCATTTTAAATGCCTGTACAAGGTCACAAGGAGCTGATGATTTCTCCAAAGCTAATCTGGCTGCTTCTTGTTTGAGGCTGAATCACCAGCAGTGCTACTGCATGGCTGGAGAGAAGTGGCCATGCACCCCATCCTGGTCATCATGGCTCTGCTCTTCAGACTCCCTTCAGCCATGATAGCTTTGCTTCACTCACATGGCAACCAAGTCCTGCCAGAGGTAGCATGGCTGTATGGGGTCAATTTGAACTTTTCCTGCCCTTGGCACTGAGAAGCATCAGCTGCTCTGGCCCAGCAAGACCACTTTTCAGCTGGGGATTATAAATCCAAACTAAGCCAACTGGCCAGGAAGCTATAAGCACCCATCTTTATTTGAATTTTTTCTTGTTTGGTGTATCTACCACTACATTTTTCTCCACCCTTGTTTTTAGTTCTAATGTATTACAAAAACTCGTGGTAAAAAAGATGCTTTAATATCTGTGTTTAATAATAACCTTTGTGATCAAGGTTGGTCAAAGTATAAATTTGATTCTATACTTAAGACTAAATGTTAAATACTCCCTGTAAAATACAGGCATAAAAACACAATTTATTTTAAAATGGAGCATTTTCATCCCTATGCTGGTAAATGGCTTCATCATTTCTGGTTTTTAATTTGCAATTGTCTTCATATTCAATTTCTCCTTGTTGATAAGTATTCCAAAAAGTGCCAGGTTGAAAACCTGTTCCAATATTGTTAAGCTGTAACAATAAATCACACCGTGGGACAGCAGGTATTAGCATATTCTTCCAATGCCTTGCTGTAACTTCCTAGTGTATCCCATCAAATCCCATCTAGATTAATCCTGGCTGGTGAAATCCTGGCTCTCTTTCCTGAGAGCAGATACTATCCTCTTGCTGAAGCATAGCTTTGCACCTTTCAAACAGCTGAAATTCCTATAGGTGCCTTAGCATCAAAACCAGAACTGTGTATATACGAAGTGTTAGTAGGTGGCAATTTATTTCATAGAATCATAGAATTGTCAGGGTTGGAAGGGACCTGAAAGATCATCTAGTTCCAATCCCCCTGGCATAGGCAGGGACACCTCCCACTAGATCAGGTTGCTCAGGGCTCCATCCAGCCTGGCCTTAAAAACTTCCAGGGATGGAGCTTCCACCACCTCCCCGGGCAACCTGTTCCAGTGTCTCACCAACCTCATGGTGAAGAACTTCTTCCTAATGTCTAATCTGTATCTACCTACTTCTAGTTTTGCTCCATTCCCCCTAGTCCTTTCACTACCCGACATCCTAAAAAGTCCCTCCCCAGATTTCCTCTAGGCCCCTTTAAGGTACTGGAAGGCCACAATAAGGTCTCCTTGGAGCCTACTCAAATTTCCATGAATGATCAGCGCATGTTCAGCTGTGGTACCTAAGACTGGTATGCAGTGCTATAAGATTGATTAAAAGGCTTTCTCCCATCAATGGTAGGGATTCTCCTGGGAGAAAAATCAGAACCCCCCTTTTTCTCTTACCTCCTCCACTTCTTCAGGTGTAAGTTCTTTTCTTTTGTGAGGGTGGCCTGCACCAGGTCGAAATGCTCCCATCGGGATGTTAATATTAGCCTGCGAGAAGGACATTATGATGTACATAATAGTGATTGATAGATAAACATACAGTTGGTAAATGGCAACACTCAAAAGGAGTGCAACAAGCATATCAACATTATCATGGTTTCTGAGCACTTATGCCCTCAATGTATGCATCATCACACCATTCCTGTGGGAAAGAGAAGTGCTTTCATCTCTATTTCAAAGATGGAAAGTGAAAAAAAAACAAAGCTACCTAGAGAGCTTTTTAAGTTTTGCATTTTAGTCTAATGCTCCCTGATTTCATTGTACTTTAAAAAAATAAGTTATAGACATCAAAGTGTCTTTAGACACCTGAGTCTGCTTCAATTTATTCAAAGTCAAAGATAAAGTGAGTGCCAGAATCAGCATTTAAGTGTAAATCACCCAAATCCTACAATAACATCCAAACCACCAGACCACTCTCCCTCTCTCCGTGATACCAGTTCTTACCTCATTTAATCACAGGTAGTTAGGAAGGAAAGCTTGCCCTGAGCCAGCTTAAGCCATGAGTGTTTAAAATACGATTTTACTGACAAAATTTACCCATGGGTGCTACAAATTGCAAATGTAATGCCTTAGTCCTAGAAATACACCTCTCAGTTGCAAAGAGGGTCTGTGGGAAAAGGTGGGAAGGGTTTTTTGACCATCCAGCTCCCTGATGGGCTTTGCCCAGCCACCCCTGCCCAGTCTGCAGTGGGGGCTCATGGGTCAGAGCAGGCTGAGCTGGCTCCAACAGCAGACAGATGCTAGGCCCCAGCTTTAGCAAAACCCCTCCAGAATGATACCCATATGACTGCATCAATCCATTTTTTTAATCTGTGGCAGAAAGCCAGTAGCCATAACACAAATGGGGCTGATAATAGACACCTTAAAAGTAAAAATTTTTGAGAAAAGAATGGCAGAAAATATTACTTAGGAAATGCAGGAAATTGCTTAGAGGCAGCTAAAATGTATCTGTTTCCCCATGTGATCCAGCCTGGATTATTTTAAAAGTCAAATAGCATGATCAACTAAATGCACAATTTATACCTATTCTTATCTCATGATCTCAGAAGAGAAGCTGCTCCTAGGAAATGTCATCAAAATATCATGACTCCCACTGGTAAAACCAGGAGGTGAATTGGTAACGTTATGGAGAGGAAGCAGAGAATCTTCCAACAGCGAGCGGTGTTATTGTAGTTTACCATCTGACTGATGTGCATTAAATGAAGATGAATAATCCCATCCCTCTGTTCAAATTGTGGTCTTGTAGATCATGCCCCAGGTTGGGTAATCACAGGAAAACAGGCCATTGTTTTCAGTAACAACTCCTCTGACAGCTGGAATCAAACATCGAGCAAATTAAGAATCCATTTGCTAAGAAATAAGCATCTTCCCCTATTTATCTGTTTCCCATTATTCCATTTATGCAAAGCAATGCTGCCATTTCAGTGGGGCTGCCAAATGTCTATAGGGCCCTGTAGTTTATAGACAACAGGGTATACATTTCATAAAGCTTTTTCACTGAGTATTAGCTTAGGTATTGTGAAACCTTTCATCAACACTTCCTAAGTTCCCAAGAGACAGAGCATATTCAGCCTCACAGTACTTAACCCATTAGTTCATTTATAGGTGTAAAAAAGAGCTTTGCTATTTTTAATTTTAAGCATCTCTCCTGACAGAGTTTAGTACCTCCAAGCAACTTCTTTTTTTGGAATATGAAACTTCTTTGCACTTTACAGATAGCATGGTCATACAAGTTTGCCCAGTTGAAACATTAAGAGTTCTCTCTCCTTTTGGTGTTCATTTTGAACTCAGGCATTTCTTCCCCTTGGAGTCAGTAAAAGCAGAAGCCAGCTTCCCATGGCCAGCTGGGGCATAGCACAGCCTGCTAATCCTGACACCCAGCCCTTGCATTTCCTACTGTGACTGACAGACCAGCTGTGACTAAAAACGGTTCAGGAAACAACGAACCATTAAGAACCAGACTGCTAACTGAATGAGATAAACCCCTCTTAGGTCTGTTCCAGCATTCTTAGAGTAATCGGTGTCACACAAAAGTGGTTTGAACTGTTTGATCTGCAGTAAGTGCATTCGCGTCAGAGTTTGGACAAGATGTATGCAGACATGAAATATTAACCTGGTAAAACAAGCAGTCTTCAAGACATAGTTTAACACTTTCTGGATCTGAGAACACATATTATATATTAAAATATTTCTAGTATGAAGTGAAAGTATGACTGATTTCTGAACAGTTCCTGACTAGATGTAGCAGAGTCCTGCACTGTAAATCTTTCCCTCAGTTCAATGCTGGTCCTCTCCTGTGGGTGAGCAGCTATGTAATGGGTGAACAGTGGACCAAAGCCTGTACACTGGTGTAGCTCTGCAAGGACTGTGTTGTGCTGTGAGCAGCACAAGTTTGCAGTTTTATTTTTAAAATACGTTTCAAGGCTCCTGTCACCTGTCTACTGAGATGGAGGTATAAGCCTCTGTAATCTCTTCCTTGCTAGCTCTCCATCCAGGAAAATTCTAAACAGGAATTTTTTTTTGCTGAAATCCTAAATTACAATTGCTCTAGACAGACTTTCTAGGTGAGATTATTGTTTTCAATCATACTAATTATTCAAACTATTAGGTTTGCATCTTCCTTTGTTTTTGGAAAGTGCCTACTATATTTTTGGATGTCATTGCAGTTTTCATAATGAGCAGGTATGTGTACTGATGTACTCTAATTGAAGCAGAAATATCTGTAAGTATGACATACAACACATATTGCTGGTTTGACTCAATTAAACTGGTATTTAGACATTAATTTGTGCTCCTTTTTCTATTTAGTAGAGGCAGGGTATCCAGGTTAGCATTCATAGCATGAGGACTGCTATGAATGAATTCTTCACAGCATCACAACCATACCCAGCTGTCCAGAAGGATGACTGAATCTGAATAAGCTGGAAAATCACTTCAGTAAAAACATATTCAATTAAAAAATAATGATAAAGGAACTACAGAGAAATCTGAATGTAATTCCTCATCCTTACCTCTGGGTAAAGCCAAGAGTGTTTTTTTTAGAAAGAATAATTTTCAGCCAGAGATGTACACCGTGTTTTACACACCACGAGGGGGAGGCTGGCAATGAATGTTACCAGGAATGAATGATACTTTGATTCTCTATTGCCCTGAACTACTCTTGGGATCCAGCTGCTACTTTATACTCTCCCACATCTGTATTTAGCAGCCATTGGCAAGTGAAGATTTCAGCATACATCTTGTACAGTCAAAAAGAAGCCACTTCTGATATGGAATATCATGACATATTTCAGCTACTAAAGAACCATTACATTTCCATCACTATAGCATGATGTATATACTCCAGGAGTTGTCAGTCCTACTGTAATGGCACATGATAGCAAAGGATCATAATATATATGAATTACAATGTATAAAAGCAATGTGACTCAAATTTGAGTCATGGTTCCTAGAGTGCTGAAAGTGTAATAGGCATCAATTCAAGTGCAAGTCTCCCTGCTGGAGCAATCTCTAACACAATGTTTAATCAATTATTTTAAAGTCTGTGCTGTAGCTTTCCTCATTATTCAAATTATCTTTGCAAAAATCAGAATGCGCTTTCAAAATGGGCAAACTAGCAGCCTTTCTTTTACATTTTGGTGTTGGAAAGTCATCATAATAACAAAAAGGAGTCTATAACTTTAAGGAAAAAAGTAAACCAAATTAATTCTCTAAAAATGTTTGTATGTGCCTGTGGAGTTTAAATGTAAAAGGTAAATACTTTTGAGGTATAAATTATCTCCATTTTTTCATTAATCACACAAACATTTCCATAGTCACTGTAAAAGAAGAATGAAAATTTGAACTGAGTGAAATCAATGGCCAACCTCTCCTAATTTCGAGTGAATTAGAGTACAGTGGTTTGTATGCCTGTTCCAGTAGAGTTGATGATGATAAAGAGAATTAGCATTTTTACAGTGCCTTGCAACTTCAGTATGCTGTCTAGCCCCTGGGTAATTAATCTTCTTGATACTTCAGTCCTTTCAATTAGTATTATCTTGGGAAACAGAAGATGAAATACACTTTAGAAATTCCATTTTGTGTTTCTTATGTAATTTGCAGGGAACCTGAGCTTGTGGTAAAATTTCATTTTACAAAATACATGTAAATTCTCTAAAATTCTGCACTGCAGGAGGTATTTTGGCCTTTTGACAAGAACCAATGATAGCATCAACTAAATACATTATTCATTATACTACTTCATGATGATGTTGGGATAATTCTCCAGCTGTTTCTTCTACAACTATGTAGCAACCAACTTCATTTTTATGATCACATGCCATTTGAGGAGGTATGTGACAAAGAACAATTTTTAAAATGAAAACATTAACATTTCTCCAATTTTACTTCAGCTCTCAAATAAAATGCTTCTTACACAAATATTGGAAGTTGTGGTGGTTTTGTCTAAAGGAATGCAGACACGAAAATCTTCACAATACCTTTGCCACCCTTTTAGCCTATAATTCTTCCAGCATTATATTAACTCTGTGTAAAATTTAATAATTGCAAGAAATACTTTTACTCATAATGTAGATGTATCACTGTGTTCTGCTAAGCTGGTCCACCAACAGGCATAACCTAACACAGAAAAGGCATACAAGCAACTGATCAGCCATCCTATCTGATTCAGTTTTTTATCAGCTCAGATCATAAGATGCACTTCAAGTCAAATTTTTTCATTTTTTTATTTTTTTCACATATACTAAACATTTTGCCTGAAAATAATAATCCACATTTAGCACTTAGTGTTTTGTCTGAGCAAAAATGAAGTTTGCCAAGAAACGGAGGTTGAGATTTATTATTTTATTATATTAGAAACAAATACTGTCTCTTACCTGAATGGCTTTGACATGTGACGCTGGCTGTTTTGACATTTTTAAGACAGAGGTTTATCCCTGCAAGCAAAATGGGAAAGTGTTACAGGCTCTGGCATTCTGATAGCTAAGGGAGATAAGCTAGAACTTAACCCATGCTGCCTCTTAACAGGCATCCATTTCATCTGCCCAGCTCCTGTTTCCATCTCAGTTTCAGAGTTGCTTAGTTATTCCTCCTGAATATCAGAAAGAGACACAACACCTGAGCTTCTCCAATTAATCTTTCATAGCCACAAATGGAGCTATCTTTTTCACATTAAAAACAATAATGAGTAGAGATAAGGAATCTCTCAAACGTTAACAGCATTGTAAAATGAGTAAGAATTAAAGGAAGTACTTGAGGATAAACAATGTATGATTATCTCAGCCACAGTATGTACGTGGGATTTATTAGAACCCTTAGTTTAAACCTTTTTTCAAATAAAGCATAACTTGCTACAAAACTTTAATAAATGCAGACATAACCATTTCCTGACTTACAAATCCTTGAAAATCTTTAATGCCTATGGATAGAAAATTATCAAACTCTAAAGTTCTCTTTGACAATTACAAGGGCACAAAGTAGCCCCTCTTCAGATTTGTCTGATGATCATATAGATTCATCCATTTTCTTTAGTAATAAGGTAAAAAAGAACAGTTTTCCATTTAATTTTACGCAGACGGAGAGATATGGACTGATACAGTATTAATATACAATAAGAAAGGGACAGTAAAAAGGTTCTGTAAAGGTAAAAAAAAAAAGAAAAGCATAAAACTTTATTATCAGATTAACTGAAACATCATCTCAGCCTTTTATTCTTTCACTGAGAACTGAGATTTTAACTGGACTAGACCTTCATTAAAGTCTGGTTAATGGTTAATATAATTTAAGCATTATAATAAAAAAAACAAGATAGCAGTACTAAAAGGTGAGAAATTACTTTACTAGAGAATTCATTGATCACAACCAAAATAGAGCATATTTTTGCAACTATTTTGCAAAACACAGCATGTTTTTGCAACCTGACATGAGAAGGAAAATATTGAGAATAGTAATAAATGACATAGGAGAAAACAGCAGAAATTCGCTGACAAATCAAAACTGGGTAAAAAACTTTGGTACTCCAAAGAGTCCAATTGTCACATGGAGATGGTACCAAAGAAAACTATAGATGAGTTTTAGGTTGGCTTCAGCCTGCAGTATCGGCCTGAAATTGTGTCTCTTGCATCAGCTTTAAATCTGTGTACAATGCTGAGAACTTAAAGAAAAAAATGACCTGCCATTAGAGGTCTCCCTCTGATCGCACTTTCAGCTGTGAAGAGTGCTATCCAACAGACCTTTAAGTCAGAGGACATCATCTTCACAGGTTGCTTCAGGTTTAAATTGCTTCCACTAAATTAATAAATGAGAAAAAAAATCCCACTGTGCAAAATAAAAACAGCATGCTTCCAGTGAGTTTTCTTGTATCAGTTTACTTTTATAATCTTAAAATCAGAGCTAGTTTTAAAAGCATCAGAATTCACTTTGGGGGATGAAATCTTGACTATTGAAGTTCATGACAAAATCTGCACAGATTTAAAAGAACTGACTTCACTCTCTCTTTCCTTTTTGAAAATCTTTATTCTGCATAGAAATAGCAGTGCTGCTAACCAGTGGAAGTATTCCAAAGATAAATATAAAACACCCCTCATTTATTGGAAAGATAGGACTCATGACAGAGAAAATTTTAATTTATTTTTCTTATCATCTTCTCCTCTTTCTAATCAGAACGAAAATGGAAACAAAAGCACAGGAAATTAACACAAAACATTTTAAAATATCGGGGATCTACTTTCTAAACACTGTCACAAAGAAATTCATGCCAAGATGTACTTCCCATCTTGCCTGCCTGTGCATTGCAAAAATACTGATAGACATTTCTTGGGCCACCAAGAACCAAACAGGCAAGGATTTACATTGAATCTCCACTTTAAAACAAGCACAGTGATAGTGCTCCTCAGTGAGGTGCTCTGAGTTCACAAGCAGTCTGTGTACTAAATTGTTGCAACCAAACACCAGTTCCTAAATGGATACATGATACAATTGTGTAGGACTGCTTTTGGAGGAGGTGATTTTCCTACCAGTTCATGCTGTCCTCATTACTGCCAGAGAAATCAGGACAACAGCATGCTACTGAGTAAAAATAGACAATCTTCTCTGGCTCTCTCCCCTTCTCTCCCTTCCCTGAGTTGTCCTCCAGAGCAATAGTGACCATCAGCAACAGGAAAATAGACCTTAATTTATAGATGCATCTGTTACTGAAATTATTAGTTAATTTTTATTAATTTCTTTGTTCTTTTCCTTTGCACCTCTGAGAGAGAGCCAAGAGTGCTGCACTGATTCTATTAAGTAATTTTTTGCATTCCAATCAGCTCTGCAAACTTGAAAAAAAAATCACTCTTCACCCTCATTTCCACAGGAGGATTTCACTTGTACGCAGCCAGAGAAATGCAGCCGCACACAGCCTATATTCCCCTGTGCCTCTCTGGCCTCTCCACACCTTACCTTTTACCTTTTATGGGCTTCATACTGAGCCAAACTTAGAAAGCAACAGCAACGTTAGTTCAGTTTGGAGCTGTTTTATGCCAGACTTCCCCTGCAAATTCCCTTGCTTTGCAGTGAAAATCCTCGTGAACAGGGCTACTTGTGAAATACAGGATTACTACAGTGAAATAAATCAGTGTTTTGAGAAGAAACTTTGTAAAACAAAGGACCTGTCTTCTGTCTCTGTGCTAAAAATAATTTCTGACAGGGCTGCAGCCGGATAATGAGCTGACTTAATCAATTTGCTTTAAATACGATGAGATGTCATAATGCCATCTTTTGTAATCCGCACAAGAGATGTACAGTAGCACACAGACCACAGAAAAAGCCCTCCCCCCACCCCAGCTGGAAGCAGTCCTTTCCCCCGTCGCACTCACAGCATCAAGCATAAGGGAAATTTTGGACACAGAACTGCAGTGTATTATCTTATTAAAAGGCTTTGACAGGAACCACACCACTGCGAGACCCAGCCAGTACAAAGAAAGAAGAGAAACCCCCACTTTGCAGCTTTTCAGCCTGTTACACAAAAACCTACTACCTGCTCTAGACAAATGCAACCACATTTTTGGTAATGCAGTTGGCTCTGCTACAGTTACCTGTTAAGCTGGCAGTGAAAGAACACCACTCTTACCACCAAAACCCCCATATAATATTCCACTACCTCTAACAAACATACAGAAAACAGTAAACATGTACCTATGTACTACAGTATTTGAGCTAACACAGTTACACTTCTTATGAGTCACTAGGTATTTCAGTGACTGTTTTATATCTTTAAAGATCCCCACAGACTATGAAGCAATAACTATAACAATCTGCTCTAAATACGCTGATATGCTGCACGAGATATTAGAATAAGCCAAACCCCACAACTACTGTAGTCACCTTGCAGCAGTTATTAGAGAGTTTTCATAAGGGTCTTTCAAGTTTTTAACTGACCCCTTCAAGATTAGCTTTTTTATTTATATAAGAAAAGCTCCAAACCATCAAGCAAGTATGTGCACCTCCTTTTGATGCTGAAAGAGTTACCTTCTTCTACCAGCTGAGGTATTGACTGTGATCCTTTTAATGTGTCTGAAATAGCTCCGATGCTTTCAGCTCGGACGGCACTGAGAGCTGCTCCAGGCTGGAGTGGGACTGCTGAGAAGCAAAGTGTAAAAGGGAATTCCTGTCATAGCTTCCAGTTGTTCTTCCTAAATATAGAGTTTGATTCACCCTGCAACTTGGTCCCCTGTGACACTTGACCATCACAAAACCAGGGCTCAAGTGTCAAGCAGGAGGTGTTGAAGGAACACACCTTTGGGTCCCCTGCCTGCCCTCACTCACCCTGTTGTACTGGGCTTTTGACAAGCACCAGGCATACGCCAGCAGACGGTAGCACACAGCCCCTTCCGTGATGTTTGGGGCAGCGCGTGCCTCCTTACTGCCGCACCAGAGAAGGAAATAATTATGGAGACATAATTATGAAGAATTCACCTCAGGGGAGCTAACGAGGGGAGGTGAATGCCACACCAACACGACCGTACCGCTGCCGGGTTGGGAGCGAACGCGCAGAGCAGCTGCCCGGGGGGCTTGGCGTAGCGTCTTTCTGAGCAGGACAGGGAAGAGGGCTTCTGACCATGAGAGGCCATAGAGGCCAGCTGCTGAGCCTTAGGGCATGTGGATGACTCTAAAGGAAGAGTCTTGCGGGGAGCTGCTGTATGTAGCTCACGAGGGAAGGGAAACCTTAGTATACAGTCATGCTCATGGTGGCTGGAGTACTGTCTTCAGTGATGGCTACCAAAGGAGATCTACCACAGCAAGTCATGCATGGGCACAGCTCCATGTTTCCAGTCTCAGGAGTGCAGCCTCCTGTTCACTGCATCTTCCACAAGACTGAACTTTCCTCTTTGTCTCTCCTCTGCCACACCTGTCCTTCACCAGACCCACAACACTAACTGTGACTGGCCACTTGCTGCTGCTATCTGCAACTTCTAGAAGAAGATCAACAATTTTCAAAATTAGTGCCAAAGACATTTATAACAACACGTGGTTGGGATAGTGATTTCAGAGAGGATTTCCCTTGACTTTAACTTATTTGACCAATCACTCTTTTCATTGCAAGTATCTCAAAGAGGAAGATGACTCCTTCATTAAGCCTGTGACTCACTCTTCTGCCCTTTTTCCCAAAAGTGCTGTCATCTGGAAGCAGCTGATAAAGCCAATGACTTGCATTTGCAGCTTGCAGACTACTCATAGACACTCCTTTCCCAAGGAGCCATGACAAGATGGACACACAACTAGACATGAAACAAGCACATGCATTTGCAGTAGGTCAAGACTGATGGAGGTACTTGTAGCAATCAGATCATTCCAAGGAGACCCCTTGGCCTATTTGTCAGAAAGGCTGAGCATGGCTGTTGTCAAATATTTTGAGACACAAGAAGATTATTGCACTTGAAGTATGGTAGAGTTCACAACAGGGCTCACAGACCTGTCTTTTACCTACAGTGGAGGAGTTTGATGTTGCAATCTGAAGTCCTGCCTTCCAGGTGGTTGAGATGCTGTTAAAGCAAAGCTGGAGTCAGGTAAGGGACTTCACACACCTCCTTGTGACGGTTCCTATTTACAACAAAATTATTAGGAAGCAATGAAAGAGGCAATGTATTTTTGTAACACAGCCTTGTACATTAATTTATTTCAGTATTATAGTACAATAGGTATATTGCAAACCAGCTCTGGAATACACAGCTTTTTCTCCTATGTGATATTAATTTAATAAAGATAGGCTATTGCTTACGTTTTATAATCCCATCGTCTTGCAAATATGCCTAAGAAGTACAGGTTCAACACTGTTTCCTTCAACAAATTTTAATAGCAATGAAAAAGAATTTAATGGATAGCCTTAATGATGTGTAAACATGAAAAGAATCTACCTCTGTCACACACCTAACGCTGACAAACTATCACACCTAAACTGTATTAGATTGTGGGGATAAGACTAAATCCAAATTTTAACACCGGTATCAGAAAATGTTGACCTCAGTAGATTTTAAAGTGGAAAACAGACGCTTTTAACATTGTTTCTTAGAGTACCACATTTTTATGGGTAATTAACCATATTTCTCATGTACAAAGATACAAAAGACACAGTAACCATGTAGTATTTGAAGTGTGAAAATCCCAATATAATTCAAAACATGGATTAGTTGCATTCCTAGAAGCTTGTCTAATTAACATGCTTTCTGGAACAGCTCATTAGTTTTGAAAGCGAAGTTGATGGTTAACAGAAAAGTATATCTTACTTCTTAACTGAGATATTTCACTGTATAATGTCAGAATTGTTTCTTTAAGCTGTCACTACTTCATATGCTTACTTAAATGTTTTGCTTTTTAAGAAACATCATGAACAAAGATACAGCTTCCCTGAGGCTCCCAAAAGAAAAATATTTTTTCTATTATAATCCAAATGTTTGAGTGTCATGCAAACAATGCAATACAATTGAAAATGCAAGTCAACAAAGGAGCAGTCACAACCTTCAGCTCACTTGAAATTACTCCTTTAAAGTAAAAAGTTAAAAAGACACATTCCTGGAGTTTTGCTTCAAATTATCCAGTTGTAACAACATATTCTAGATCTTAAGCAATGCAAAAATCTGCTTCCCATCTTAATTTTGGCTCTACAAATCACAGTTTATTAGCAGATAAGAATAATGGGCCTATGATATTAAGTATTTTGTAATTAATTCCTATCACTACCTTCCTTTGAATTCTTTGGTTAAGAATACCAAAACTAAAGTTGTAGTGCAACTAATGCAACTAATATCTTCATTCAACACATCTGAGTTATTGATTAAGGTTTAAAAATAATAAACCTTCTATCAGACAGATTTATCAGAGGACTAATATAGAGGATCCTGGAAAAATAAAATAGCACCATCCATTTTCTAACTCTCACAGATTTTAGGTGTACTTTTCCCTGAGTAAAGATATATCTGCTCCAAGGAACAATGATTTGGCACATTGGCGTGAGGAAAGACAGAGACTTTTAGCAATGGTACCCAGGTTACACAGAACTACAAAAATTTAAAATACAGTGGAGCCAGCAATCAGAGCATCAACCAGGCATGAGCCCATTCTTACTCTTGCACTAAACTGCAAACAATTTTGAATCCTAGATTGCAGAAAGAGTAACAGATCCAGGCTGCTTTATCCAAAGGAAAGATGCTTGAGGAAGTACCATCTACTGTTTGATTGTTTCTCCCAGTTTTCCCCAATCTGTATGTTTCTTGACAACCAGAAAAAAAAACATGCACTTTCTCTTGAGTTTCTATTTGTACAGCTATACCAACAACAATAACATCAGGTTATTTAAATAATGAATGACAAAAAAGAGCATGCAAAAATATTTGCTATTATCTAGTGGACAGGAACTCAACAAACATATCTAAATTAGCTGATTTTGTTTCTGCAAGGTTTCGGAGCTGTTAAATATTAATTCAATTCCTGCATGCTCTCTTTCTTTTCCATATAAAAGCATGGTGATTATTACCACAGACTGTTGCATCAAGAAATAATTAGCCTTGTATTAAGAAGATGGTCTCATTAGAGGCTGCCAGTGACCTCGTTCTAAATTTCAGAGTTCCAGTATCTTTTAATAGCATTGTTAGCATCATCTAAGAATCTGTATTAGGTTCTAAAAGCTCCATTATGAATATAACCCACACAAATTCTGGAACATTGTAACTCTGGCCACTGAATTACCCACAAGCCATACACTCTGTTGTTTTCTATTGGTAAAATTCTTGCTTACCAAAATGTTTTGAGTAATGCAAATGTGATAATGATGTACAAGCAACAAATTTGTTTCCACTTTTCTTCTGGGAAATTTTTGCCACCTTACCTGTCAAAGCTGACACCATAAGAAAGGACAAGGATACTGGCAGATTTTGAAGGGTATATGAATTTTAAATGCCATGATGATTTTCTAAACATCCTGTCTGCTGTAATGATTCAGCATCTTTTGGAAAAGAAACAAAAAAACATGACATTGCACCATTTGATATTGTTATGGACAAACAAGTTTGCCAAAATAGTAACTGACTGAATCATTGGTGAAATTTTTAACAGAACAACTACTCGACATTTTCACAAATCAGGATAATTTGAATAGGCATCTGTTATCTTTTTCAATCCTATAACAGTCTTCTTTCAATGAAGGCCATCTCCATTAGTTGATTACATCTGCTGAACACTATTAGTTCTTTTCTTCAACTGTCAGATTTAGACATCACCTTAGGTACAGAAATGTATTTTGCCATTTTAACCATCTGACCCAATGACACAGGAGAACTAGGTATAGATATACTAGAGGACTTGGGGACTTGGCACCACACAAATCAATGTACTTACCTCTTGTAATAAAGCATGAAACAAAATTGCAGCTATGCAGGTAATCAGCTCACACACAGCTATGATCCTGCTGTGAGAGCAATCATCTGAAGTCTAACAAAGAGAACAAAGACTAATTTCTGATGATTCCTCATCTAAATGGCATACTAACAGGAACAAAGACATGACTGAGACATGAAAATCTGCCTAGTAGAAAGATGTACCTAGGACAAGGAAGATGAGGCAATAGGTTGGAGGAAGCAAAATATCAAGGACATTATAAAGATATTAATGCTTTCAGGTAAAAAAAAAATAAAAAAGGACCAAATGCAAGGCCAATTTCATCAACCATATGAAATTGATCAGTTGCTATCTTTGGTTTGTATCTGCTGAACAGAGCATAAAAGATGAAGATTGATAAATGTGGGTGTGAAGATTTTTAAAGTCTGAATCAATATCAAGATACTTACCCTAGTTCCCATGAGTCAAAAGGAAAAAAAATTCTAGCTTTC